TATGGCAAATGCCACAGATATCACAGTAAATGAAATAGTTTGAGGTGGGTTATAGTAGTGCTTTATATGTACTCATTTGTATAATGATTTCATACGTTTATTCAGCTGTTGAAATATCTCAAATTAAGTGCATTTTGGGTCAGTCTGTTTTTTAATGAGTTAGTAGAAAGCATAGACCGGTTCCCAGTTTCCTTGTTTGCGTTAATGGCATTACCATTCCCTTAGGCACTGAGACTGGAAAACTTTTTGTCATCTTTGACTTATTCCTGTCCTTCATTCCTCATACTCAGTAAATAATTTGTTTATAAGCCTTCGAAAGGCCATTGATACCAATCTAGTATTCTCCATTCCTATTGCAACAATCCTAGTGCATATAATACTTAGTCATTTATCTGTCCATCTGTCTATCCATTTGTTCATCCATCTGTCCATTCATCCATCCATCCATGCCTTTTGAGTTTCATAATCCTCTATTTTCAAAAAAGATCTGAAAAAGAAGAAAACAGGACACTGTAGAACAGATTAAAAAGAAACAGAGTAGGCCTAAATCAGTTGTTCTCACTTCAGATGCATTAGAATCAATGGAAACTTTTAAAAAATGCTGATACTCAGAACCACTCACAGACATTTGGATTCACATGGTCTAGAGCTCCCTAGGTGGTTAATGTGCAACCAAGGTTGAGAACCACGGAATAAAAAATGAGGGAGTAGATATTACCAGCCACTTGATATGAGCTGATTACAACCTTTGAAACCTGGCTGCAAAGGCAAAGTGGGATATATGCTGTTAAACACATCTCATTGTCTGACAAAATAGTTTTTCTCAGCATTTAAATTCTAAAAGCAATATATTTATGTCCCAGTAATGCAACAATAGCTACCTTTTATTGAATGCTTGCCATGTGCTAAGTGTTATGCCAATGAAAGGAATTACCTCTTTTAAGACTCACAACACACCTATGATGTGAGCACATTATTAATTTAGTATTTCAGATGAGGAAACTGGGGATATTGATAACTTAAATAGATGTCCAGCTTTGTATTCAGACTGTGTAATTGCAGAACCCTGGTTCTTAACCACTTTACTACCCTGTCTCTAATGTGGATACAGGGCAATACCTCCAGTTAAAGTTTCGCAAATTGCAGAATGTGGTGGTCAAATGGGATTCTTGAAAAATATATAAAGGCTGAAGGTAAATCATTTAATGAGAGCATTTTTTGCAAGATGTTTAGATAATATTTTGCTTGCTGATCATCTAACTTATAGGTAGAGACACTGGGACTTCTGGAAGAGTGAGTTGTTATCATATCTACTGGATTCTTTCAAGTTTTCTCGTAAGAGCTTTGGGGAGGTCTGGCCTCTCCCAAAGAGCACCGGCCAGGGCTTGGGGGAAGGTGGGGTGAAGCGTGAGCACAGGGAAGACTGGGATGAGCCCCAGGAGCAGGAAATGGAAGAAAAGGTAAAACACCAGTAAGGGCATCCTGCTTGAGGTGCTAGGCCTAGACAATGTGAGGACAATGGTTGGGCTGAGGAGGGGTGTAAATGGATGGAGCTGAGTGGTTTCAGGGCCAATGTCAGAAACATGGGTGTGCCTTTGGTTTGGGAGTGGGAGGAGGGTGCAAATATTTAAGGAGTGAAAGGTAGTTTCTGAGACACAAGAAATTCTTGTTTAATCTAACAAAGGTCTAAAGTGGAAATACTTCATGCTGTTGAATAAAGTGAGAACTATAGGCTTCCTATACCAGCCCTAGGTGGTCATTCTTCTGTTAAAGTAACTGAACCACTATCTTGAGTTGAGGCTCGTCTCACTCTAATCAATGCCTTCCAGAATCTTCGGAATAATGAATTATATACTCTCTTTTAGCACGTCGTAGCTCAAGAATGGTCAGAGGCTCTCTACTGCCTACTTTAAATCTAAGCTCTCAACAGGGCTTCATTTGATCTTCCCACGTTTGTCCCTCCACCCCTTCCACATCTTCCTAGCACATTTGTCAGGTGTGCTTACTGCTCCATGAACACTCATGGCCTGGATTAAATCTCTGTTCCACACGCTTTCGTCCTGACTTCCCCATGTGACTGTGAGTTCTTTGAGGGCAATGATTTATGTCTATTAACACTTGTTTCTCTTCTTCTCAGTACCTAGTGCTAAGCATTCGATAAATAGCCAATGCTAGTGCTTGACTCAGTTATGTTTTTTTTTTAATCCTTACCTGAGGACATTTTTCCATCTTTTGTTCAGATAGAGTAGGAGGGAGAGAGAGGAAGAGAGAGAGAAACATCGACATGAAAGGGACACATCGAGTGGCTGCCTCCCGCATGACCCAACCAGGGTGGGGGACAGACTGCTCAGAAGTCTCTCTAACCTCTGAGCCAAACGAGCCAGGGAGACTCAGTTATGGTTTACCATGAGCAATACTCAGAACAGCATCAGCCACAATGAGATATTTAATAAGGGTTTTTGTATTGAGACAATGATCATCTCAGATTCAGAAATATGTTTTCTTTTGTAATGACAACATTGATAATAGTGCCTCATGATAACCTGGTACAATGAAGTTCAAAAAGTCTGAGTCTGGAGCCCTTCCCGGGGGCGGCAGACAGTCGCCATATCTGGGACTCCAGCAACCTGGCTCACACTGGTAGCCCCGCCCTGCTGACTCCCTGAGGCCCCGCCCCACCCCACCCAACTTTCAAGCCCACCCAAACTGTTGCCACTTGCTTAACCATAGGATTGGCCGGTCTTGGATCCTGCTTCAGGTTTTTCCTAAATTCTTTCAAACGAGCAGCATCTGGTCTCAGCGAGCCCCATACCTCTCATTAAGTAATACACTGAAACAAACACAGGGAGGCAGCCAAAATGAGGAGACAAAGAAACAGGTCCCGAATGAAAGAACAGAACAAAACCCCAATAAAAGAACTAAGCGAAATGGAGATAAGCAACCTAAAAAATGCTGAGTTCAAAATACTGCTTATAAAGATGCTCAATGAACTTAGTGAGGGCCTCAGTGAACTTAGGGAGGGCCTCAAGAGCATAAAAAAGGACCAGTTAGAAATCATGGATACACAGTCAGAATTGAAGGAGGCATTAACTGAAATAAAGAATAATTTACAGAGCTTCAATAATAGAGTATGTAAATCCAAGGAGCAAACCATCGATTTGGAATATAAGGAAGCAAAAAATGCCCAATCAGAACAGCAAAAAGAAAAAAGAATCCAAAAACATGAGGAGAGTGTAAGGAGCCTCTGGGACAACTTCAAGCGTGCCAACATTCGCATCTTGGGGGTACCAGAAGGAGAAGAGAGAGAACAAGAAATTGAAAACCTGTTTGAAACAATAATGGCAGAAAACTTCCCTAACTTGGTGAAGGAAACAGACATACAAGTCCAGGAAGCACAGAGAGTCCCAAACAAGATGAACCCCAAGAGGCCCACAGCAAGACACATCATCATCAAAATGCAAAAGGTTCAAGACAAAGAGAGAATATTAAAAGCAGCAAGAGAAAGGCAGCTAGTTACCTACAAGGGAGTTCCCATAAGGCTCTCAGCTGATTTCTCCAAAGAAGCTTTGCAGGCCAGAAGGGAGTGGCAAGAAATATTCAGAGTGATGAAAAGCAAGAACCTACAACCAAAATTACTCTATCCTGCAAAGCTGTCATTTAGAATTGATGGCCATATAAAGAGTTTCCCAGACAAGAAAAAGTTAAAGGAGTTCATCACCACCAAACCGTTATTATATGAAATGATGAAGGGTCTTTTTGAAGAAAAAGATAAAATATATGAACAAACAAAATGGCAATGAATACATATCTATCAACAATGGAATCTACAAACAAAATGAACAGGTAGAACAGAAACATTCTCATAGATACAGAGAACATTTTGTTGGTTGCCAATTGGGATGGGGATTGGGGGAATGGGTGAAAAAGGTGAAGGGATTAAGAAGCACAAATTCATTGCTAGACTGACAAACCGCAAAGGGAAAGGGGTTGGGGGGGTGGGAAGAAATAACCAAAGAACTTATATGCATAACCAATGGACACAGACAATAGTGTGGGAAAAGGTGGAAGGGGGGCAGGAGTGGGGAGGAGGGGGTCAATGGGGGAAAAATGTGGAACATCTGTAATACATTTTACATCCAACAATAAAGATTTGAAAAAAAAAAAAAAAAAAAAGTCTGAGTCTGAATGTCAGCTCTGTCACATATTAACTGTGTGACCCTGAGCAGGGCACTGTGAGCCAGTCCTCACTGGAAAGGAAAGGTGATCATGGGGACCTCAGAGTGGCTGTGAGGATTAAGTCACTCACCAAACAGAAATTGTCTAGCGTGGAAAATGGCTATAATAGTCATTCAGTAAATGTGGTTTGTTACAGAAAATTAAAAATCTCTCTCACTTTTTGTTCTATTAGGTTTCTATTTTCACCTTTATTTGAACCAGTGAGATCATTTTAACATTTTCTTTAAACTCGTTTGAGGTTAGTTGTGTTTCGCTAATGAAGATGGTAGCTATCATATTAACAATGAAGTTTCTTGTTGTGTTTTTGCTAATTCTCTAGATCATAAAAAAGTAATAGAACAAGTCAAATCTCTCGGGGCTGGGAATCAGGAGAAGGAGGGAGAAAGGAAGATAAATTTATTAAATTGCTGGTGGAAACATGACCCACAGACTCTTGATTTAGAGCCCATGATGAAGTCCTGGTGGGAGGGAAGCCCCACTTCAGGATTCCCGCCTTGGTTAGCAAGAGTGCTCCAGAGTCGCACCATGAGTGTCCATGGCAGAGCATGTTCTCTGGTCAACCTGACTCTGCTGCAGGATGGGTGTGGCAGAAAGCAGACTACTGTGAATTAACCAAGGGTGAGGACATTAAGATCAAACTTTATTTCATCCAGAAACAGTGACAAAATGGCATTCTTCTCTATTTATATCTGTCCCGTCTTCTTGTCCTTCCACTCAGGGTTGCTGACAGGTTGGGGCTATTGTGCCGGACGTGGAGATTCAGTCTACTGGTCAAGAGACCTCTCACTCTCAGGGGTTGGCTCTGCCCCTGCTTTCTGAGGTCGGCCCTTGTACTCACAGGGTCTTAGCTGCTTCTGTAAGTACAGTAAAATTCCGTTAATCTGATGTTATCATGCGGTAAGAAGAGAGTGAAGCAACCAGTTGACAAGATGAGACTTTTTCCTGATATCATTGGTTCTTTATTAAAAAGTACAGATAATATTTGTCATGAAATAAAAACTCAGAGGCTCAAATGCACCCCATGGCAAAGTAGCAGTGACACATGCATCCACAGATAGCTGTAGCTGTTTAAAGCCCTATCTTATTTCCCTAGACAAACACAGCCAGGATTATGAAACATGTGCCTCCCTCACATGAGAAGCAATTAAGGACAATCACATTATTCTTTTCTGCAAAAACCAGTGCTCTTCAATGTTGTAGCAAAAAGATGATGCGATGATAGTGTGGCCAGAGAGGCATTTCCTCATAAAACGTTTGAACACATTTTGCATCACAGCTCATGATATTCCCTCGTCAATTATAAAAAAAAAAAAAAAAGATTTCCTTCACAGGCCTGCCTCTATATTACTGCTTCTACTTTCCATTGTTATCATTCAACTCAGAGCAGCTGAAAATTAAGGATTACTCATTCTAGCCTCAGCAACAAATAAACACACAGAAAACTCGTATTTTAAAGCCTTGTTGCAAAGAGTAGTTAATGAGTAAACAGAAATTACTAACTTATGAGAAAAACTCTAACTCAGAAAGAGGATTATCAGAATAGCTTTGTCAAGTGGGAGTAACTATATGATAAAACAGCCCATTTTGGAAACAGAAAGTCAATTAGTTTACTTCCCCCTGTCCTCCCTATAGCCAGTCTGTCTTTCTTGTGGTCCCTCTTTGACCTTGATGGTTATCATTATTAATTTTCCCCCATTAAGAAGTTCAGCATTCAGTCTGTTGACTTTCCTTATTTTCACATGTGTTTGGGGAACAGATGCCACAGTGTATTCAGAATGTCAAGAATCTTTGTATGAAAATCGATGATATCCGTTCTTAGATACACATTTGTTATTAGAAAAGCAAATTGCAGTAGGCCACAAGGCATATTTATTTGTCCACTTTCTGTGCTAGTTAAAAAAACTTGTGAGGAAGACGCAGAAAGGATTTGGAATTCTGCACACAGTTTTATGTTGTCCACAGAAATTGACGGTGTCCCCATCGGGAGTCTCACCACTTCTCTCTAGGCTGTTCTGAAGCGTCATGGTTTTTGGTGCGTTATATCAGAGTATTTGGACAATGGGAAAAGGGGATGATGAAGTGTTAACGAGACACCCATAGCTGCATATGTTAATACAAAGCATCAGAGAGATCGAAATCATGAAATTCTTTCATTTCCACAGTTGGATTCATTCCATTAATTGGCTTCCAGGGACGTCCAGGACATTTGGGGGAAGTTGTTTCAGAAAAATCAGGTATCGGTTTAAATGAAAGGTTATTTGGCTCTATCTGGATTTCAGGGATCCAAGCATCATCATTCTCTGTGGGAGCTGGTGGTATATTAGTCATCGCAGCTGCAATGAGATCTAAGTCCTGAAAGTCAGGAAAGGTAACTGCTACACCTGGCTGGGCTAGGAAAGGGAGGGATGTTGGCCCTTCTGTCTTCTCCTGTGTTTGTGCAGATGTAGTACTATCTTCAGAAGAACTTGCCCCATGCTTTTTTCTCCAATCATTGTGCTTTCCATTCTTTTTTCTTTTATTTTTATGTTGTCCATGGCCATGACCATGCTTATGTTTATGTCTATGGGCTAGGCCATGTTCCCTTTGATGTCCATGGCCAAGTCCATGCCTCCCTTGGTGTTCCAAATCATAGTTAAGTTCCCGTTGATGTCCATGGCCAAGACCATGTCCATTTTGGTGCTCATGGCCTTGGTCATGCTCATGTTTATGGCCATGGTCAAGGCCATGTCTTATTTGCTTCTCATGGTCCCAGCCATGTTCGTGAGTGAGTCCTTGTTCTTTTTCTGAATCCTGCTCTTCATCTTGTACAGGAGCCATGGAAGTGTGGGGTGGACTTACAGTTGTTCCTCCTTTTGTTTCCTCCACTGGTACTGATCGGAAAGGTGAAAAACCTGGAGGTCTTTTCATCAATGAGGTCTAAACAGGAAATATTAAGATGAATGCATTACTGTGAAGACCACACTATTAATGAAGAAAGAAGGGACTGAGACCTGGCAATGCTATCTTGGTTTACAATGGAGCAAGTCTTTGCCAGATTTTAAATACTATATTAATATTACAGAAATGATGAGAATGAATATCTTTTTCTTTTTTGATTGATTTTATAATTGGTGGATATTGACTATCATTCTTAATGTTACTCCTCCTCTAAACTGAGAGTTCTTCATCTGGAAAAATTGGGAGGTTAGACTACATAATCTATAGGGTATCTTCTAAGCCTATGATTATATAAAACTATGGCATATTACTTATTAATTTATACTATGTCTATTAGTTCAAATACTACTTTTATTCTAAAAGGCCCTAAATGGCTTTATGGACTAAATAAATATGAAGCATATATCCACAATTACTTGTCATACTGAAACACTTTAGGAAATATTCATAAACTTGAAACACAGCCTTTGTATAATGTTTGTGTTAGGCTACATACATACCTAACAGGGCAAAAACCTAAATCAGAAAAAAAAGGGAGAAGAGGCAACTTGCATTGAAGGTTTGGATTATTTCTACCTACACTTTCACTACTGGTGAGAACAATGATGACTGGAGGCAGTATTCAGTGGTGCAAACAAGCCACACCCTAGTTGTCAGTGTCAAGTGAATGTGGAGGGCTCTGATTTGACCTACACTTGAATCCAAGCACCACTAGCTTCACTTTTCTCATCTCTAAAATAAGAATAACAAAAGCACCTGCCTCATAGAGTTGTCAGGAGAAAAACATGTGTGAAGTCCTCAGCACAATGGCTGGGACAGAGGAAGCACTTGATAATGTTATTATTCACTCCAGGATCTCAACATCTTTGTAATGTTTAGTGTCTCATCCTTGACAATGGGAAAAGTATTACTTACCTCCCAAGCTTCTCTTAAGAATTAGAAAAGATGATACAAACTAATGCTTCTCACACTTGAACATGGATATGGATCCCCTGGGGATCATGTAAAAATGCAGATTTGGATTCAGTAGATGTGGAGTGGGGTCTGAGATCTGCATTTCTCCCAAGTTCCTTGGATGTAAGCAGATGCCAAAGAAGCATCTCAGACACACCTTGAAGATGCAGAGCTAGTGTTAGCTCTGCACAGCAGGGTCTGCACTTCACTCAGAGCCTACATAAGGATGGGATGCTGACAATGTGTGAGAAGTGATTAAGAGGACTGCTGTTTTCCTTTCTAGGCATAAAAAAGAGATACCAGCACAGACATGTGAGAATTTTCCCCATTTTAAAAAAGATAACCTCCCAATTTATTTAAATAATGGTTCATTTTCAACCCCCAAATAGGACTTTTCAGAATGAGCAAAATTTACCCAAGCTGACTAATTAGATTCATACCATTGCTACTGGTTGACAGTTGACAGTAGGGTACACTTTATTCTCCCAAGGTACTATGTAAACATTAGCAGTGCATCTTAGAATTTCCTATCCATAAAAACAAAAAGCAAAGAGAGAACCGTGTTATTCATGAAATACTTAAACAAGCATAATATATCAAGTAGATTTCTAGGGAATAGGTAGAAAGCTGTATGACTACTCACTCCAAGTTTATTGGCCTCGCAATTTTTGGTCAACTCTTTATTAGTTTCCTTGGAACACGTGGTTTCCCTGGCAGTGAACTCAATAACATATTTTACTCCAGATACCACCTGGAAAATTAATTAGCACAAAGTAGAAGCTTAATTAATATTGTATAATAAATATGTTTTTGCTCTAAGGGATCTTAGGGGAGAATATAAAAATTTTAATTATACACTGACCAAATGAGAGTTATACAAAAAGAAAGTACAAATGTTTGACAACTAAACTTTTAGTTTGTAAGCATGTGTAAAATATTTGGCTCTTGGTTGGTCTCATTTCCTTTTCTACATGGAAAGGGAAAAGCGGGCTATGATTTTTATTTTTATACTTTTCTGAGTTTTATTGTTCAATAGCTGCAAAATTCATTAGTCATTCAAGCACTCAAGTTGTAATAGAGTCTAAGAAGAGAAGAAAGAAAAACTTAAATATTTTCTTTAAGAATGCCTTATTGTCCTGCCAAGTCTTGAATCAGAAAAATACTGAGTGAGTACCATTATAGAAATTATGTGGGTTAAATTACATGATTAGGAAAATTATTTGGATTTTCTAGTTTGCCTTTCAATTTTTTCATATTAAGAAACAATGTCAATCTCTAGCAATTTTGTTTTCTTTTTTTTTTGGTAATGTTTTATTGTGATTTAGAGAGGGAGAGAGAGAAAGAAACATCTATGTGAGACAGAAACATCCCTGACCCAGAATCCAACTGGTGACTTTTTGGTGCACGGGAGGATGCTCAATCCACTGAACCACACTGGCCAGGCCAAATTGTTCTTTTCAAATGCAAAAATCAGTAGAGATTCATCTTTTATAAGTAAATTTGAGATTCTTATCATATTTTAGATTGATTTGGCAGATGAAGGAATGTCAGTTCCCCTCAATTCACAGCATTACCTATTGTTCCTTATCATACACACACACACACACACACTGGAGTTGATTAGTTAATTTACAGAGAATTGTAAATACTAAGAAGACTAGATAGTCATACATGAGAATGAGTGGTTCTTTCCTCAGCAAACCTCTGAGATTCAATATATGGTGGAGTAGTAGAGTATTAGAGTAGCAGAGTAGTCCTGCAACAAGAAGTCACCAGTTGGATTCCTGCATCAAGAATAAGGGAATTTGCCCTGGCCGGTTTGGTTCAGCAGTTAGAGCGTTGGCCCATGGTCCAGAGAGACCTGGGTTCGGTTCCCGCTAAGGGCACGTACCTCAGTTGCAGTTTGTCCCTGGCCCCAGTTGGGGTTGTGCAGGAGGCAGCCACTCGATGTGTCCCTTTCACATTGATGTTTCTCTCTCCCTCTCTTCCTCTCTCTCCCTCCCACTCTATCTGAAGAAAAATGGAAAAATGTCCTCGGGTGAGGATAAAAAAAAAAAGAATAAGGAAATTTGCCTGGCCCATTTGCTCAGTGGTTAGAGCATCTTCCTGGGGACTAAAGGGTCATAGGTTTGATTCTGGTCCAGGGCACATACCTGGATTTTGGGTTTGATCCTTGAAGCCTGGTTGGGGTTGTGTGGGAGGCAACCACTTGATGTGTTTCTCTCTCTCTCTCACTCTCCCTCCCTTCCTTCCACTCTCTCTAAAAAAAATCAATGGAGGAGAGGATTCCAAAATGGCGGCAGAGTGAACTGAAGCTACACAGACCGTTTCCCAGGACCAAACTGGAATTACAATTAAAATAAAGACAAATCGACAAGAAAAAGCAACAGAAAAGCAGCTTGCAAGGACCATATAACCAGGGACACTGACTCGATCCTGGTAAGATTGCAAAGGCGCAAGAGGTGGGCTGGAAGCCCACGGTCGGCAGCTCGGCAGCGGCCTTAGCTGTGAACGGTGCCCTCAGGTTACACTCCCAGGCGGCTCCAAAGCGCAGAGCCGGGACAGAGGCTAAAATAGCCACAGCCACACACCTTGGGCTCTGGCAGAGGGAGGGCAGACTGGACTGGAAGTGTGTGGGGACACTTGGGATTTGGAGGGCGCTCAGAGCTTTTGCTGAGTTGCAGCCACGCAGGACGGTGGCCATCTTGCTCCTTCCAAGGGCTCTGGAGAGGCAGCAGCCCCTCCCTCAAAGATTCAAACCCACTCTGTGGGCCATTGAAATGCAAATTGAGGCTTACTAATACCAGCATCTACCTCACCCTCCCGAAATCCCTTTACACTGAGCACCTGAGGGAGTTTTTCAATCAACTAAGAACCCAAAACTCTTCAAGTAACTGCTATTGACAGCCTCTAGGCAAAAAGCTAGAGGATAACAGTACCATTCCAGGGAGAGCAACTTTAACCAGGAAAGTAAGACTTGACAGTGGTGTTTAACGTGGGTCCTCCCTTGCTCATCTAAACCCAGGAGAGGGAGCCATAAACAGCAGAACACCAACACCCACAGGGAAAACTTGGCAGGCTCCAAAGCCCACTGGGATAGCCAAAATGGTGAAACAGAAACAGAAGCCAAATAAAAGAACAAGAGACCTCCACCGAAGATGATATCAATGTGGAGCAGTTAGGCAAGTTAACAGAGCTAGAATTCAGAGCCATGATCTTGAGGAAGCTCAACAGCATGAGTAAGGACATAGAGATGCTGAAAATAAACCAACTGGAAATTAAAAACCACCAGGAAGAGATCAAGAGAGACTTATCAGAAATAAAGAACACATTGGAAGTTCTAAAGAGCAGAGTAGAGGAAGCTGAGGACCGGATCAGTGAGTTAGAATACAGGGTAGAAAAAAATCAACCAATTAGAAAACCAAAAGGAAAATTGATTAAAAAACAGGAAGACAGCTTAAGAGAACTGTGGGACAACTGAAAACGTAATAATATTTGCATCATAGGAGTCCCCGAAGAAGAAGAAAATGAGCAAGGGTTAGAGAATATATTTTAAAAAATAGTGGCAGAAAACTTCCCTAATTTGGTGAAGGAAGAAAGCATTCAAGTTCAAGAAGCACAGAGAGCCCCAAGTAAGAAGAACCCAAATAGGTCCACACCAAGACACATAGTAATTAAAATGCCAAAAATTAAAGGCAAAGAGAGAATCCTAAAAGCAGCAAGAGATAAGCAACAGGTTACCTACAAAGAAAACCCCATAAGGCTCTCAGCTGACTTATCACAAGAAACACTATAGGCCAGAAGGGAATGGCATGAAATAATCAAGGTCATGAAGAACAAGGATCTGTATCCAAGACTATTCTCCCAGCAAGACTATCATTCAAAATAGAAGGTTAAATAAAGAGCTTCCCAGACAAAAAAAAGGCTAAGAGAATTAGCACCAAACCAGCACTGCAAGAAAAGTTAAAAGGACTACTGTAATTAGTAGAAGAAATAGGAAGAAAAATATAACCAAACTAAAAAAAAATGGCAATAAATAAGTACATATCAATAATCATCTTAAATGTAAATGGACTGAATGCTCCGATAAAAAGACACAGAGTAGCTGATTGGATAAGAAAGCACAACTCATCTATATGTTGTTTGCAAGAGACCCACCTCACAACAAAAGACTCACATAGGTTGAAAGTGAAGGGATGGAAAAAAATTTTCCAAGCAAACAGAAAGCAAAAAAGAAGCTGGGGTAGCAATACTCATATCTCGTAAAATAGATTTCAAAATGAAGACCATAACTAGAGACAAAGAAGGCCACTACATAATATTGAAAGGATCTATCCAACAGGAAGATATAACCTTGCTAAACATATATGCACCCAATATAGGAGCACCAAAATATATTAAAAATCTTCTGGAGGACTTCCAAGGAGATATAGACAGCAGTACAATCATAGCAGGGGACTTCAACACCCCATTGACACCACTGGATAGATCCTATAGACAAAAAATTAGCAAGGAAACAGAGACTCTAAATGAAGCACTAGACCAAATGGATTTAATAGATATCTACAGAGAATTACACCCCAAAACTACAGAATTCACATTCTTCTCAAGTGCACATGGGACATTCTCAAAGATAGACCACATCATAAGACACAAACTAAATCTCCACAGGTTCAAGAAGATTGAAATCATATCAAGCATCTTCTCATATCACAATGGCATGAAACTAGAAATCAATTGCAACAAAAACATGCAAAGACATCTGAACACATGAAGGCTAAATAGCATATTATTAAACAATGAATGGGTTACTGAGGAGATCAAATTAAAAACTTCCTGGAAACCAATGAAAATGAACACACAACACAAAATCTATGGGATGTAGCAAAAGCAGTTCTGAGAGGGAAGTCCATAGAACTACAGGCCTATCTCAAGAAACAAGAAACATTTCTAATTGACTGTCTAACCTCACAACGTAAAGAATTAGAAAGCAAACAAAAAGAAAACCCCAGAGCAAGTAGAAGGAAGGAAATAGTAAAGATCAGAGCAGAAATAAATGACATAGAGACTAAAAAAACAATTCAAAGGATCAATGAAACAAAGAGCTGGTTTTTCGAAAAGATAAACAAGATTGATGGACCCTTAGCTAGACTCACCAAGAAACAATGAGAGAGATCCCAAATGCACAAAATCAGAAATGAAAGAGGAGAAGTAACAAACACCACCACAGAAATACAAAAGATCATTAATAGCTACTATGAACAATTATATGGCAACAAATTTGACAATCTAAGCAAAATGGACAAATTTCTAGAAACACACAGTCTCCTAAAAGTGGACTCAGAAGAGATAGAAAACTTGAACAGACCAATAACAACTAAGGAAATTGAAGAAGTAATCAAGACTCTCCCGGCAAACAATAGCACAGGCCCAGATGGCTTCATGGGGGAGTTTTACCGAACTTTCAAAAAAGAACTAACATCCATTCTCCTCAAACTATTTCAAAAAATTCAAGAAGAAAGAAAACTTCCAAACTCATTTTATGAGGCCAGCATAATTCTAATTCCCAAACCAGAAAAAGACACTACAAAAAAAGAAAACTACAGGCCAATATCCCTGATGAACATAGATGCCAAAATCCTGAACAAAATACTAGCAAATTGTATCCAGCAATACATCAAAAAAATTACTCAATGGGCAGAAACTAAAAACATTAAGAACAGGAACAAGACAGGAATGTCCACTTTCACCACTTTTTTTTTTTTTTTTTTTTTTTTTAATCCTCACCCGAGGATATTTTTCCATTTTTTGTACAGATAGAGTGGGAGGGAGAGAGAGGAAGGGAGAGAGAGTAAGAAACATCGACGTGAAGGGACACATCGAGTGGCTGCCACCCGCACAACCAACCAGGGCCGGGGACAAACTGCAACCGAAGTACGTGCCCTTAGCGGGAACCGAACCCGGGTCTCTCCGGACCGCAGGCCGACGCTCTAACCGCTGAGCCAAACTGGCCAGGGCGACTATCACCACTTTTATTTAACATTGTACTGGAAGTCTTAGCCACAGCAGTGAGACAGGAAGAAAAAATAAAAGGGATCCAAATTGGAAAGGAGGAAGTGAAACTGTCATTATTTGCAGATGACATGATATTATACATAGAAAACCCTAAAGACTCCATCAAAAATCTACTAGACTTAATAAATAAATTTGGCAAAGTAGCAGGATACAAAATTAACGTCAAGAAATCGATGGCATTTTTTTTTTTTTTTATCTTCACCCAAAGACATTTTTCCATTTTTTGTTCAGGTAGAGTGGGAGGGAGAGAGAGGAACAGAGAGAGAGAGAGAAACATTGATGCGAAAGGAACACATTGAGTGGCTGCCACCCACACAACCAACCAGGGCCGGGGACAAACTGCAACCGAGGTACGCGCCCTTAGCGGGAACTGAACCCGGGTCTCTCAGGACCGCAGGCCGACGCTCTAACCACTGAGCCAAACCGGTCAGGGCTCAATGGCATTCTTATACACCAATGATGAACTCACAGAAAGAGAAACTGAAAAAACAATCCCATTTACCATTGCGGCAAAAAAATTAAGATACCTAGGAATAAACTTAACCAAAGAAGTAAAGGACCTATTTGCAGAAAACTACAGGACATTGAATAAAGAAATAGAGGAAGATATAAAAAAAGTGGAAGCACATACCTTGTTCATGGATTGGAAGAATTAACATCATTAAAAGGTCCATATTACCCAAAGCAATCTATAGATTCAATGCAATCCCCATCAAAATACCAACGACATATTTCACAGAACTAGAACAAATACTTCAAAAGTTCATATGGAACCAAAAAAGACCCCGAATAGCCAGAGCAATCTTGAAAAAGAAGAACAAAGTAGGTGGGATCACAATACTAGATATCAGGTTTTACTGCAAAGCTACTGTAATCAAAACAGCCTGGTACTGGCACAAGAACAGGCATATAGACCAGTGGAACAAAATAGAGAACCCAGAAATGGACCCAAGGCAATATGCCTAATTAATATTTGACAAAGGTGGCAAGAGCATATAGTGGAGTAAAGACAGCCTCTTTAATAAACGGTGTTGGGAAAATTAGATACATGCAAAAAAATGAAACTAAACCATCAACTTACACCATACACAAAAATAAACTCAAAATGGATAAAAGACTTCAGTGTAACCTGTGAATCCATAAAAATTCTAGAAGGAAATGGAGGCAACAAAATTTCAGACATCATACGCAGCATATTTTTCACTGATATATCACCTAAGGCAACAGAAACAAAGAAAAAAATGAACACATGGGACTACATCAAACTAAAAAGCATCTGCACAGCAAAAGAAACAATCATCAAAATGGAAAGGCAACCCACTGTATGGGAGAACATCATTGCCAATGATATATCAGTTAAGGGGTTAATTTCCAAAATATATAGAGTACTCATACAACTCAACAAAAGGAAGACAAAAAACCCAATTAAAAAATGGGCAGAGGACTGGCCGGTTTGGCTCAGTGGTTAGAGGGTTGGCCTGCGGTCTACAGAGACCCGGGTTCGGTTCCCGCTAAGGGCATGTACTTCGGCTGCAGTTTGTCCCTGGCCCTGGTCAGGTCGTGCGGGTGGCAGCCACTCGATGTGTCCCTTTCACGTCGATGTTTCTCTCTCTCTCTCTCTTCCTCTCTCTCCCTCCCATTCTATCTGAACAAAATATCGAAAAATGTCCTCGGGTGAGGATTAAAAAAAAAAAAATTAAGAAAAAATGGGCAGAGGAGCTGAATAGACACCTCTCCAAACAGGACATACAAATGGCCAAGAGACATATGAAGAAATGCTCAACATCACTAATCATCAGAGAGATGCAAATTAAAACAACAATGAGGTATCACCTCACACCTGTCAGAATGGCCGCCATCAACAAATCATCAAACAACAAGTGTTGGTGAGGGTGTGGAGAAAAGGGGACTCTAGTACACTGCTGGTGGGAATGCAGACTGGTGCAGCCACTCTGGAAAACAATATGGTGTTACCTCAAAAAATTAAAAATTGAACTTCCATTTGACCCAGTGATCCCACTTCTAGGACTTTACCCTAAGAAGCCTGAAACACCGATCAGAAAGAATATATGTACCCCCATGTTTGTAGCAGCACTATTTACAATAGCTAAGATCTGGAAACAGCCCAAGTGTCCATCAGTAGACGAATGGATAAAAAAGCAGTGGTACATATACACAATGGAGTACTATGCAGCTGTAAGAAAGAAAGATCTCTTATCCTTTGAAACAACATGGAGGGACCTCGAAAGTATTATCCTAAGTGAAACAAGCCAAACAGAAAAAAAATAGCACATGATCTCACTTATATATGGAATATAATGAATATAATAGCCTGAGGAATAGGGTAGACCCAGAAGCATGGAAGTAGGGTACAGACTGACAATCCTCAGAGGAGGGGGTAGTGGGAGTGGGAGGAGATAAACCACAGAACTTATATGCATGTATGCGTAACCACGGGACATGGACAACAAAGCCGGGGATGGGGTCGGGGGGATGGGGCAGAGGGGGTCAATGAGGTAAAAAAGGAGAAACATCTGTAACAAAATAAAAAAAAAAAATAATAATAATAAATAAAAAAGCAATGGAAAAATATCCTCTATTGAGGATTGTAACAACAAAAGAATAAGGGAATTTCACAAGAAAGCAGAAATATGAAGGGAGAAGAAAAGCTGGCACAAACGCGAGCACCATGGATTGGTGACTGTGGGTGAGCTTAACGTGGGTCATATGCCGGCGCAATGAGAGAGAAAAGGCTGTGGTGTCCGGGCAGGAATAATGCCTGAGCAGGAGAGAGACTGAAGCGTCTGTTTTGACTTATTTTAATACCTTGCTTAGGTTTTTTCCCAGTAGTGAAACTAATACAGGAAATTAGGAGATGAAAATAAACAGCACATTGTGCCATTGCCTAAAGCCAACTCTGAATAGTTGGAGGCATTTGTTTCTTTTCAGTGTTCTGTACTTTTTAAAAATAACACAACTGACAACAAAATGTATATTCAGTTTTATGGCCTCTTTTTTTTTTTTTCACTGCATATTTTAACACAAGGCATTTCCCATGTCAAGAAATCCTCACATGGATGCTTTAACATTGCTGCTTGATACTCCACTATAAGGATATGCCAGACATTATTTGATCACTTCTATATTGTTGATCATTTTGACAGTTTACCATTTTTCTTTTATAGATAAAGCTGCAATGAATATCATTGTCTATAAAGACTCTATCTTAGATTTCCAGAAATTCAATTACTGAGCCAAAAGCATAGCTGTTCTAAGTGAAGTTTTTTTTTTTTTTGGTCAGATTCTAAAGATCATGTTGGTTTACTGTAACAGTTTGGTTCTATTTTGATTACTTTCCTTTAGCTTATATTTAGGGAGGCCAGTTTTGAGGTTTATAGTAGGAATCGGTCCCTGAATAGATTAGTCACATGCGTTTGGAGTCGGAGGGAATCTGGGCTCTTCTCACACAGCCACTCGTTTTACAGACAGAGCCACAAAGAGTGAGTGAGTCTGAATGAGAGTCCTGGGTCACCCAGGACACGAGTGGCTGATGCTGTAGCAGAACTGGGTCTCCTAACTCCCAGACTAGAATGCTCCTTATCTATTGACAGGACATGGAAGGAAAGATGAATCCTTAGAGCGTACATTTGTGGGCTGGAAGGACACCCAGGCAGGGGGAAATGACATGGAGGTGAGAGTGATGCTATAATAAGAAATGAGTCTAGAAAGGCAGAGAATAACTCTTGCTTTTCGTTAGCCTTACATTTTATTAATTATATGACAGTTGCTAGGATTTATATAACACTTCAGAATTTGAAAGATAATGTATTGACATGTATTATATGTATTTTTTGTTCTATTTATTTATGCATTCATTGGTTGCTTCTTATATGTGCCCTGACCGGGGATCGAACTTGCATTGCAACCTTTGTGTACTGGAACAACACTCTAACCAACTGAGTTACCTGGCCAGGGCTTGACATCTATTATCTTATTTTATCCTCACTGCAGTCCTTTACAGACAGAAAGTGGAGAGAATGTTCTAAATGACTTGTTCAAGATCACATATCAAGCATACAGTGAGCTTGAGACTTAAAATTCAAATTCCTTTCACCAGGTATACTATTTCCCAACCCAGAGCCAAGATCAGTGGCAAAATTAGTAAGCACTTTGCACACAGACTATAATATCACTATTTTTGTAGCACAATTTACAGACCTGTGTTGTTGCTGTCTCCACAACATCAATCTTGAAATAGAAAGTTCCATTGTTCTCTGCATTAAGCTTTGTGATGGAATGTCTCAGAGGCTCCTCCAGCTCTGGGCTGTCGACAGGTATCTTCTTGGGACAGCCAACGCACCTTAGGGTAGGTGGTGGTACAAAATCCTCCCCTGAAAAAATGAGGTTTTAAGTTCGCATGTGCACTGAAGGAGCAGTCTAGCCTAGTACCTCTCCCACACTGCATCCATTTATAGAGGGCCATGTGCAGCCCAAAGCCCAGTAGTGGTGAGTGGATGTTGCCTGTCTGACCTTTGCCTTACTACCTTCCTTCTTTCCCTCCCCTCAGAGTCAAGTGTATTTAGGGAAACATTTCATGGGAAGGTGTTCGTGACTCAATCAATATGCTGCACTTTTTCTAAGTTTTTGCATTTTTGATAGAACATATAAAAAGCAGAGCTCAAAGGAATAATTCTCTAGAGGGAAAAGTGTAAGTCCTATGATTCTGGTGAGCAGGAAGCTTCAATGATGCTTTCCATTGTAGAATGTAAAAATATCTTCCAAGTACGAGGAAAGCCAAATCTTGGTGCAAGAAATACTGGTTTGACCATAAACTCTCACTATCTCCCTTTCTCTCCATTATAGCATGCAGGAGAAAAAAGTCTTTAATTGAAAAAATTTTGCTCTGAGTAATTAAAAATGAGATACATGCCTGACCGGTGTGGCTCAGTGGTTCAGTGTCGACCCATGCACCAAGAGGTCACTGGTTCGATTCCTGGTCAGGGTGCATGCCCAGGTTGTGGGCCCAATCCCCAGTGCAGGGCATGCAGGAGGTGGCCAATCGATGTTCTCTCTCATAGATGTTTCTATCTCTCTCCCTCTCCCTTCCTCTCTCTCTAAAATCATTAAAGGAAAAATAAATAAAAATGAGATACAGCTTCCCCAATTTATAACACCTGATACAGGGACATTTTATACACAGGAAGACCAGCTGACATTGTATCTGGAGGCCAGCTTGCCCCACAGGACATATGAAGCTTTCCTCTGTCACCATATTCCCTCTGGCCACTTGCAGAGCAGTCTCAACTGCATCTGCTACAGCATAGCTGTGCAGAAATGGGGTGCAGTGTTCTCAGTAAGGTCTGTTGATCCTATCATGGGACCCAAAGTACAATTCCTATGAAAAGACCTAGCTAGTTGTCTGGGATCAATATATACTATTAGAGTACAAACATATATTATTGCATACCTGGAAAAAGGTCACACTTCTGTGAGAAGGAAGCAATTTTCAGCTGAGGATCCATGTATGCGTGATCTGTACATTCACCAGTATCCTAGTTTTTAAAGGGTAAATAAATGCATAAGTTAAAAATGTTTTTAAAAACCGTTAAAGTAAACAACAAGAAAAATTAAATATTGGATGTTTACTTAACATAGAAAACAAAGCAAAACATGGTCTAATGGCAAAAGAGAGAATAAGAAACAATTAGGTATTAGTATCAACAATAAATGCATATACACAAACACACAGTAGTAACATGAAATAAGAAAACAAGAATATCTAGTATAGGAATAATAGCTGAATGGGTAAAATTTCTTTTAGAAAGGCAAATACGTTCATATTAAGTTAAAAACTTAATTAATGGATTACATTTTTTAAAATAGTATCTTGTAATATAAAAGATAAAGGAAGATTAAACATATTGGATGAGTGAAGCTGTATGAGGCAAATATAAACAAAAGAAAGAAGCTAGAGTATTAATATTGGACAAAGTAAAATTCAAGTCCAGCCCTGGCTGGTTTGGCTCATTGGTTAGAGCGTCAGCCTGTGGACCAAAGGGTTGCAAGTTTGATTCCTGGTCAAGGGCATGTACCTGGGTTGCAAGTTCAATCCCAGGCCCTAGTTGGGTTCATGCAGGAGGCAACCAGTCAATGTCTCTCTCCCTCTCACATTGATGTTTCTCTCTCTCTCTCTCTCTTTCTCCTGTCCCCCCTTCCACTCTTTCTAAAAAGTGATGGAAAATATCCTCAGGTGAGGATTAACAACAACAACAAAAAGAGATATAGTCTAGAAGCATGGAGTCAAAGAATGGAGTTAAAGCAGAAATTAGATATATAAATAGAAATAGATTAAAATAATGGTGGTGGGGAAATTTAATATACAACTATAAATCTAAGACAGACCAAATGGATTAAAAAAATAAGATCATAGAAAACAAGTAACATAATAAAATGTATTTAAATTGTATTTTCATATGATACATAATTATTTAAATTATATTTTTATAAGTATGATACAGATATTTTTAATTGCTTTTACATTAAGTCACAAGAAAAGCTCAATAAATTTTCAAATCAAAACAATAAAGGCCATGTACAGCTGGTATGACTCAGTGGATTGAGCATTGTCCCATGCACTGAGAAGTCCTGGTTAGATTGCCAATCAGGGTTGTGGGCTCAATTCCCATTAGGGCAGATGCAGGAGACAGCCAACTGACGTTTCTTTCTCACATCAATGTTTATATCTCTCTTGTAAAAAAAAAAAAAAAAAAAGAATGAAAACATACTTAAAAAAAAACAATACAGGCAATGTTCTTTGACCTCAGCACCAAAAGGAAAAAAAAAATTCCACAAAATTAGTAAGTTTAAACAAAAAATAAACTACTTGGAAATCTAAACACTCTTGCCTACATAGTTATGGTCTTTCTTGGATAAGAACATATATAAAAAACAAAACAAGAAAAATGAGAATTTTACATAATGTTGCCAGAGCAGCATTTAGAGTTAAACTCTTGGCTTTATATGCTTTTGTAATTAAAAAAAAAAAAAGAGTGGCAAGAAACAAACAAAACAACCTCAAATCTAGGTGTTTATCTCAAGAAGTTAGAAAAAGGAATATAATAATAGTCTTAAGTAAAACAAAAAAGGAGGAAACAATAAAGCAAAACTGATGAACTAGAAAACAGAAAGCACTAGCATTAATAAATAAATCCAAATCATCATTCTTGGGGTAAGGGAAAAATCAAATGCAAAAAAAAAAAAGGCAAGCCCTGGCCGGTTTGGCTCAGCGGTTAGAGCGTCGGCCTGCGGTCCACAGAGACCCAGGTTCGGTTCCCGCTAAGGGCATGTACCTCGGTTGCAGTTTGTCCCCGGCCCTGGTTGGATTGTGAGGGTGGCAGCCACTCGATGTGTCCCTTTCACGTCGATGTTTCTCTCTCTCTCTCTCTCTCTCTCTCTCTCTCTCTCTCTCTCTCCCACTCTATCTGAACAAAATATCAAAAAAAAAAAAAAAAAAAGGCAATATAGCAAAGGATACAGAGAAGTATAAAAATATAAGAGAATAATTACGAACAACTATATGCTAATTTAAATCCCAAAGTTTCTGGAAAACTATAAATAACCAACACTGACAAACACAAAAACAAACTTGAATGGACCAATGACTGAACTAGAGAATGCTATCATTACTCTCTCAACTTCCACTCCACACCTCATCTCTAAACAACATAGATGTTTTATAGATGAATAATTATTATTTTATTTTTTAATATGTTTTTATTGATTTTTTTAGAGAGAGAGGGAGAGACTGAGACATTGATGAGAGAGAGAAAGAGAGTGAGAAACATCAATGAGAGAGACACAATCGATTGGCTGACTCCTGCGTGCCCCCCACTGGGGATCTAGCCCATAACCTGGGCATGTGCCCTGACCAGAAGTCAAACTGGGACCTCTCAGTCTATGGGACAATGCTCAATCCACTGAGCTACACCAGCTGGGCTAGATGAATAATTTTTTAAATGTTAGAAACATACAGTTCCATGCTATATAAACTGTTTCTCAATATAGAAAATAGTGGCAAACTACCCAACTCAAAAAATCGTGACTAACCACCTAACTCAAAAATAGAAGGCAGCAGGAAAAGAGAAAGACCAAATATGACATGGACCGACTCCATTAAAGAAGTCATAGAAATGAGTCGATAGGCACTCAGAGAAGCTGTTGAGTTCAAGATAGTGTGTCCATCACTCATTCATAGGGTCACCAGGAGTCAGAGCTGACTCAAATGCGTGTAACACACACCCAATTCATTCTATAAAACTATAATTTGGATAGTAAAACCTGAAAAGATAGAATGCACACACAAACACACCCAGAAAACTGGCAAGCCACTTTTACTTATTAATATAGATGTAGAATTCTTAAACTAGAAATAAAATCCAAATGCATATATAAAGAATAATAAACAAGTAAAGTTTAAGAATCTAAAGATTATTGGTAGGAATGATGTCAAGACAAAATAATAGATTAAATTAGAAATGCATAACATGATATTTTGATATATATTTAAAGCATTTGTTAAATTCTAACACCAATTTCTTTTAAAATTTTAAAAAAATTTATTGGGGTGACATTGGTTAATAAGTGTACAATTGGTTTGGGTAAAATTCTATAATACATCATCTGTATATTATATTGCATGTTTACTACCCAAAGTCAAGTCCTTCTGTCATCACTATTCCCCCTTTACCCTCCTCTACCTCCCCCACCCCCTTTCCCTCTGGAATCACTATACTGTTGTTTGTGTCTATGAGTTTTTTTGTTTTATTTTGTTTTTGCTTAATTCCTTCACCTTTTTCACCCAGCCCCCAACCCAAATCCCCTCTGGCAGCTGCAAGTCTATTCTTTGTATTTATGAGTCTGCTAACACCAATTTCTTATTTAAAAACGAAACAAACCTCTTTAAAAACAGGAATGTAAGGATGCTTATTTAACATGAAAAAAATGCCTATCTGGGACCCACATTAAATATTATAAATAACAAAATTCTAGTTTTTCCAATAAAATCAGGAATAAAACATAAATGTGTGTAAAATATCTCTGGAAGTTTGGGTCAATTCACTGAGACACAGAACAAAAAATAAACACCAAAAAGAGGAGATAAAATAATATCTTACTATTTTACACCTAGAACGATAAAAAGAATCAATGCAGAGTTAATCAGAGTTGACTTGCTGAATATAAGATAAATGTATAGAAGTTGACATATTTATATATAAAATAACATTTAAAATGAAAAAAAGAAAAAAAAATTAATTCCTAAGAGCAATAACCAAAAATAAACTCCTCCCAAAACCTAGACATAACTTTAGTGAGCAATGTTCTGGATATATGTAAATAAAATCACACCACTATTAGAAATTTAAAATAAAACTTGACTAAGTAGAGATGTATACCAAGTTCTTGATTGAAAAGACTAAATATAGTACATATGGCAATTCTTCTCAAATTAATTTAGAAATGTAATGCAATTTCAATCTATATGACAATGTAAGTTTTTCTACAAACTTATTCTAAGGTTGGTTTTGAGGCTATAAACTCTAGAATAAGAAATCACAAATTTAAATCCACTGTTAAAACATGGCAGTACAAAAAGAGAAAACAGGTTTTTCATAAGAAACAATTCTGGAATAAAGGTTGTTACAAATTTATGTATAAAGGAAGAATGTTGAGATATCTGGTTATCCTCTTGAAAAAAAAACCTTAATTTAGAGACCTCACAAGACATATTAAAATTAATTGCAGCACTGGCCAATTTGGCTCAGCGGTTAGAGTGTCGGCCCGCAGACCAATGAGTCACGGGTTCGATTCTCTTCAAGGGCATGTACCTTGGTTGCAGTTTGTCCCCGGCCCTGGTTGGGCTCCTGCGGGAGGCAGCCTTTCAGTGTGTCCCTTTCACGTCGATGTTTCTCTCTCTCTCTCTCTTCCTCCCATTCTATCTGAACAAAAATGAAAAACTGTCCTCCAATGAGGATAAAAAAAATAATAATAAATTCCAGATTGATTCTAAAGCTATATTTAAAAATACTGACTAGATACAAACTAGGGAAAGAAGGTGACTGCTAAGCAAATGGTGGAAGAATTCAAAAGGAAAATATTAGATTTTGTCACCTATAAACATCTATTTGTAAGCCAGTAATGCCATAATGAAAACTAAAAAATGAACAACTAGAAGATATGACAAAACACTGATACCTTTAATATACAAACACTCTTTGGCAAATCATTAAGATTTATCCCAAAGAGAAATGGACAAAGAATATAGAAAACAATTCATAAATTCAACCCACAAATTTTTAACAAATGATGAAAATAAGGAAATATACCAAATACAGAAATAACTTTATTCTCAAGAATGTTTGGGGAGTTATTAATTATAATAAAAATGGAAACACCCCAAATGTCTAACTATAGGAAAGTATTCAAAAAACAATCTATCATATCTTTAATAGGATGTTATACAGTTATTTAAAAGAAAGTTTATCAAGGATTTTAATGATGTAGAAAAATTCTTAGGTGAAAAAAGTGTAGCACATAAAATAATGACAACTATTAACAGACAAAAAAATCACCAAAAATTGTTTATATCCACTCACCCCCCCAAAAAAAGAGGGAAATACACTAAGGTATCTTTGGGTATTTGGGTATGTGGTTCAATATTATTATTTTTTCTATGTTTCTGCATTGCCTTGAAGTTTTCTACAGATGTTTATTTTCACTAAGGGGACATACATATAATAAATGTCATAGTTGTTAAAAATACAAGGAATACGACACTTATAATACCAAACCGATTAAACCAGAATGTCTGGGAGAATGGCCCAGGAATCGTTATTTTTAAAGCTGACGAAGTGGTTCTAATATGAAGTATGGCCTGAGAACTACTTATGAAATCTCTTAAATCAGTGCTTTCCCAACCTTAGAGTGCAAATGAATCACCTGAGAATAGTGTTAAAATGCAGATTCGGTGGGTGTGGGGTGGAATTTAAGATTCTGCTTTTCTAACAAGCTCCCTGGTGCTGCTGATGCTGCTGGTTTAGAGATCAAACTTTGAAAGCAAGGCCTTCAATCTTACCAATTGTAGGCAAAATGGTTCATTTACATTTTATGTCCTTTAATTATTTTAACAACGCTGTGAGATAGGTGCTATCACTCTTCACTATAACAAATGAGGAAGTAGAAGCTCCAAGAAGTTTTACCAAAAACATGATTGGCTTGTGATTCCAACCAGCCCTTGCCTTTCTCTGTGTGGCAAAGAAAAAACTAAATTGAGGCTTTATAAATAAATAGATGCAGGAAGATTACTGCCAGATAACATTTAAACCTTTATAATCTGAAATAGCTAACTAAAAACATAGACAGAAGGTGTTAATAGATGCTTAAAAGGTCAGACTTGACTAAAAATAACAAAGTTAAAATAAATAGTAGCTAGAACATACATTTTTAGAGGGTTTCTCTCTCTCCTTTATCACTATTTTTTTTATTATGGTAAAATATATATAATATAAAATTTGCCATTTTAACCATTTTTAAGTGTATAACCTAGTAATATTAATTACATTCACAGTGTTACTTAACATCACCACTCCGTATTTCCAATAGTTTTCATCACCCCAAATACAAATTCTGAACCCATTAAGCAATACATTCCCATTCTCCCTCCTCCCAGCCCTTGGTAAACTCTAATCTACTTTTGTTGCTATACATTTGCTTATGTTAGACATTTCAGATAAATGGAATCATACAATACTTGTCTTTTTGTGTCTGGCATATTTCACTTAGCACAATGTCTTTAAGGTTCATCTATGCTGTAGCCTGTGTCAGAATTTCATTGCTTTCTATGTTCATTAAAGAACATTCCATTGTTTTATTTATATATATCACATTTTGTTTTTCCATTCATCTATTGATAGGCATTTGGGTAGTTTCCACTTTCTGGCTATTGTGAATAATGTTGCAATGAATACTGGCATATGAGTATCTGTTTGAGTCCCTGTTTTTACTTCTTTTCGGTATATACCTACAAGTGCCATTGCTGGGTCATATGGTAATTCTATGTTTAACGTTTTGAGGAATCACCGAACTGTTTTCACAGTGGCTGCACCATTTTACATTTCCATCAGCAATGAACAGAAGTTTCAATTTTTCCACATCCTCCCCAATATTAGTTATTCCAATTTTTAAAAAATTCTGGTCATCCTTTAGGTGTGAAATGATATCTCACTGTGGTTTGTTTTTATACTTCCCTGATAGCTAATTATGTTGAGCAGCTTTTCATGTGTTTAATGGCCATTTGTATATCTTCTTTAAAGAAATATTTATTTCAAAGTCCTTTGCCCATTTGAAAATTAAGTTGATTGTCTTTTTGTTGTTGCATTGTAGGGGTTCTTTATATATTTTGCATAATAAATCCTTATCAGATATATGATGCAAATAATTTCTCCCATTATGTGGGTTGTCTTTTCACTCTCTTAATAATATCCTTTTCACTATTTTCCCAATTATAAAATAAATACATACTTGATCAGAAACACTGGGAAATATTAAAACGTTTCTAAAAGTATAAAGATTTTTTTAAAAAGTACCCATAGTTCCAATTTAAAGTTAACTTTGTTTTATATTTTTGTATCACTTACAAAATTTTTTTTCTTAGAGTTTATTTGAGGCAAACTAACAACATATATCAGGGAGCAAGATCTCAAATGCTCCCCTCCATCACTTTTAATACTTACATTTTCTTTATACATTTAAATGAATATAAATGTATAGTTTTATACATATATATATATTTTTTTTTTACTTACCATATTTTAACCATTTTAGTGACCAAGTCTTCCTATATAACTGAGTGTTCCCACACCTGTACATACTGGACACCAATTGCTAATAACTTTACAATTAGAATTTTTCCTACTTACACCATTGAGAAGGGACTTGCAGTCTGGAGTTAAGAACAGAAAATCCTTCTTAGAACAATTAGTTTGCTCAATTACGTAAGTAACTTCATAGTTCCATCCAGCCACCACCTGAAACAATTTTGAATTGAAAGTTAAAGAGCAGTTTAAACATTATTCACTGTGTTGTGAGGGGCTTAGAATACTGCCTGGCATATTGCAAGTACTCAGAAATATAAACTATTATTACTAGGCAAAAGTCATGACTGAATAAATATTGAGTGCTTTATGACTCTCACACTCCTCAACACACGCACACACACACACACTTCTACACATCTGAAAATAAAAAGCAATATATGGGTAGAGTTACTGTATTTTATTAAGACATAGCAATATCTCCTCTGCCAGGCAGCAGAAAAATAATGTCCTATTGAATTTTGTGAAATATTAATAATGCTTTCCAGGTGGTTTAAGAAAATGCTGGAGCTAGAGTGATCTTTACTGATAGGTTCTCAGGTTCTCAGACTGTCCAGCAATAAGTTGTCTTCTGTTTTATCTTGGGCTAGTCCCACCCCAATATGAACATAATTGAATAGAACACGAGTCTTGTATGAAGACAAGTTGGATGGTCTATTAAAAGCAGGGAACATCACTGAGCAAAGTGAGTCCCTCATGATTAGACACTGCAATACAAGGGATCCAGTCAACTGTCAGTAAAGATATTGAATTGAGCCAATGAAAATACCAGATTTACAGTATATACCCCCCCTTTTTTTGATGATATGAAAACTATAATGTAGAGGATACTCAAAAAGCTGTGCCAACCTTTTTGGGTACCATTTAATATCCAGGAGCCATGTTTGACTCAGGATAGCTAGGTGCTAATGTAGTTTCTTAAAACCATAAGGCCAGAATGACCTTTCATTTCACCATCTCTAAGAAGCACATGTAATGCTGACTACCCATTCATTAATCCTATCTCAGAGCAAGGGGTCTGATTAGCCACACCTTTACCCTTTACATATTGGAGTATCTGAATCACTGTGACTAAAGAAAAAACTCTTTACCTCCTGTGCTAGTCAGTTGAGGACATAAAAGAGAGCCCTCCCCACCATCATGGAATCAAATATTTTCTTTCGACCAATGGTTTATTTTAGGTAATGAAACCCTAAACATAAAGATCCAACAAATTTTAACAATACTTTGAGAAATGAACACTAAAGAACAAACCTGTCTCTGTGCCTTTTTTACTTCTTTAAGAGCAAACAGGTGAGAGCGATCAGTGTGGTTGTTAAAATGTTGAATGGCATGACCCAGAACAGGGTCCAACTCAGGGCTGGTAGTTGATATGGGGTGCACGCAGCCAAGGCAGTCGTACTGGGATGTCACCACAGAGCCCTTGCCTTGACATAGAAAGAGTAGGCAAAAGGGCAGCATTAATGAGCAAAACCCGCATTCAGATACATTGCCCTAAATAAGTAAGAGAATTTCAAAGGTCCTGGTAAACCAACTTTGTGGTAAATTCTAGTATGTTTTAGGAAAAGAGAACACAAGACTGCTGTTTCGTCAGTCAGAGAAGAAAACCTGTCATTGACTTAAGAGCATCTTACTTTCATACTATTGTGCATAATTATTTTAAAAAGCATGGTAAATTATAGAAATAATACATGGCTCTATTCTCTTATAAAAAAAGAGTAAAATGTGCCCTGGCTGGTGTGGTTCAATTGGTTGGATGTCGTCCCGTGCACTGAAAGGTTGCTGGTTCGAATCCTGATCAGGGTACATGCTCAGGTTGTGGGCTTGGTCCCTGGTAAGGGAGGTGCAGGAGGCAGCCAATCGATTCTTTGCTCTTACATTGATATTTTTCTCTCCCTCTCCCTTCCTCTTTCTCTTAAAAAAAAAAAAGAATTAAAAAGTAAAACATTAGTCCGGCCGGTGTGGCTCAGTGGTTGAGCATCGACCTATGCACCGAGAGGTCGCCGGTTTGATTCCCAGTCAGGACACATGCCTGGGTTGTGGGCCTGATACCCAGTGGGGGGCATGCAGGAGGAGTTGATGTTCCCGCTTATTGGTGTTTCTTTTTCTCCCTCTCACTTCCTCTCTCTCTCAAATCAATAAAGAAAAAAAAATTTTAAGTAAAAATTACATATGTATTATTATTTATTTTTCCAGTGTTAATTAAAGCTCCTTAAAGCCTGGTTCAGGGTATAATATGTTTTGTATCAATTCAATTCAACAAACATGTGCGCATTTTGCACCTGCTGTAATATGCCAGGTGCTGAGCTGGCCTACATAGATACTCAATTTGTCAGGAAAGGTCACTGTGGTGAAGGAGTTGGGCAAAGTCCAGTGGGAGAGAGAACTGTAGATGGATATTTCAATATAATTCAGCAAGAGCTTGGAAAGGCAGGAGCCCAGAGTGAGCTCAAGAAAGACTTTCCTGAGTAGAAGAGGCCTGATCTAAGAAGGGTGAAAAACGGTCAAGGTCAGCTGGGCAACAGAAGGTGTGAGACCTGAGAAGGAACAAAGGAACACATGGCTCCCAAGACAGCAGGCTGAGTCTGGGCAGCAGTGTGGGACGTGGTTAACTCATTTTACCAGAGCTGAAGGCCGGAGGCAGGGATGGTGACTGAGGTCTGAAGGGCTGGTAGAGAGAGGTGGGGGTGGGCGGGTGTTACCGTCTGTATTCCAAGGGTCCTGGACCCCTTGGTGAGCCTGATGAACGCTATGGCGCCCTCTCCAGGAAAATATGGCTACTCACAAAGTTCCCCACAAAATTCAGGGTTTGTACATAGACCCATGAAGCAAATTAAGAATGGTAGGCAGTAACAATGGGGTGCCCCTGAAGGGGTTTTAATAAAACAATGTAAAACATTAAAGTAGGACTGAGTTTGTATTAAGTTACCAAGAAATGTTTATAACCGACAGCCCTAACCCGGTGGTCAGTGGAGACACAGGCGCCAGGGGCGTCGTGAAGGCGTCCTAGGCCCCTTTGCCAGGGGTCCCGCCGCCCGAGCCTGTAAGGTCCACACTGAATCGGGAGGCCAGCTGTGTTCTGCAACAGTGTCCCTTGGTTGTGAGTAGGTCAACACAACTCCCCTTGCAACTGTTTCTTGGCTTTCACTCCGTCAGTGTGTGTGTCAGACAACAGACTTACTGGGTGAAAACAGTCGTCCCTCCGACTGTGGCGGCTTCACTCTATCAGGGTTTGTTCAAAGTGGGGAGGGACGACTGTGTATAAATAAAGAATCCTACTTGGCGGAAATCCATTTATCCCGGTAGAGTCTGGAACTGATTAACCTCCATAAAGGAAGGCCGACTGTAATCGTAGCGTTCTTCACTGCCCCCGCCCCCCCTACTTGCAGAAGTTATGTTGCATCAGGGTAGTGGACAAAGTTGAAAAACTGGGGGAGGAATTACCTGGGAAAGGTGGGGGAATTACTGATGGGAGAACAAAAGATTGGTGCACACAGGAGGTGAAGGGGAGATGGAGAAGAGACCAGAGGCTGGTTTGCTGACCTCAAGGACAGCTCCAGCTGGGCCTTTTGAGGGTGAGAGGAATAGGGAAAGATACAAGATCAGTTTTTAATAGTAAAAAGCGACTCCAAATTAAAAAAAAAAAATTCCTTGTGATTTATTTTCTATTTTGGACTGTTTTTATTTGAAGGCTACTTCTTGCAAGAGCTGAAACTCAAGGGATATAGTTTTTGTGTGTTCCATATGGATGAGGAAGGCCAGGATAGAACAATTGCCCCTCCACTGACGTTCGGGTGTGCCTGAAGACGCTGTCCTGGAGCCTCATAAATTAAAACTTGCAGAAGGCCAGTCTGGGTTGGCTTTTGTGATTGACATGACCTAGATGTGCCCATTCTCCTGCACCTAGCTGCTCTGCCACCAGAGGGAAGGAGCTCATAGTGCTTATACCTGTTCCTAAGTTGCCCCATACTTACAGGGCCTACTATACCAACTCTGCTAATTGCTAGCTGTGGGATTTGGAACAAGAGTTTTAACTGTGGTGGGCCTCAGTTTCCTCATCTGTAAAATGAGAATATTAACACTTGTCTCATAGAATTGTTGTGAGAATTAAATAAGTCATAATGTAAAGCAATTAGAACTGTGGCTGGCAATAAGTGCTCAATAAATGTCAGCTGTAATTACTTTTCTCCTGATTATCATTAATATATTACTATGATTGTAACTTCAGGCCTATCATCTACTTTCAGTCTACAGAAATCCTCTGTGGTGAGAATTACAGTGATCCCCTTTTATTTATTTTTTTATCCTCACCTGAGGGCATCTTTTGATATTTTGTTCAGATAGAACGGGAGGGAGAGAGAGAGAGAGAGAAACATCGATGTGAAAGGGACACATCGAGTGGTTGCCACCTACACAACCCAACCAGGGCCAGGGACAAACTGCAACCGAGGTACATGCCCTTAGCAGGAACCGAACCCCATTCTCTCCGGACCGCAGGCCGATGCTCTAACCGCTGAGCCAAACCTGCCAGGACAGTGATTCCCCTTTTATAGACAAGGAAAAGGGAAACCAAAAAGGTGACGAGCTTTTGAAAGATTCCAGGCCAGCTCTGACCTCAAAGCCTGTGCTTTTCTCGCTCTAGGACACTCCTCCAATTGAAGCATGTGGCATGTTTTCTAGTCCTTTCCCAGGGCCCTTGCCCACAGCTAATACAGCGCTGCTCTCAAGGGAGAGTGTCAGGGTAGCATCGAGGAGATGATTGGCAGGACCCTGGCCCCAACCTCAGGACTCTGCCACCCCAGGCCCCAGCCCCCCCCCCCAAGTCTACAAATAGCATTGCTGCAGCCACCCACTGCCCTCTGGGATGGCTTTGTCTAGGTTATGCTCCTGGCCTCACACAGAACCGGTTCATTTCCCCCCAGGGCAGCGCCACCGGCTCTATCAGCTACCTGGAGTAATGTTGCAGGTCTGGGTAGCCACGGAGAATTTCATATTTTCTCTCTTCCCCACAGTCGCCGTGCATTCTCCTGTGGCCTAAAAAAAAGAAACAAAAAGACTATTTATCTTAGTCTTTTAGATGGAGAAGCGCACCTAGTACTGTTGTTAAATATGGCTTTCCTTTTATTTAAAACTTAAGATTTTTTTCTAACAGAGTTTTGTGACACAAGAATGAATGTTTTTGTAGCCTAATCATTATTATTTACAAGACGTTGATATTCACGAGACGTGGAGAGGAGAGGTAATAGAGATGGTGAGGTTTTATTTATTTTCTTATCCTCACCCGAGGACATTTTTGCACTTATCTTCAGAGTAGGAGGAAGAGAGAGGGAGAGAAACATGGATGTGAGAGAGACACATCGACTGGTTGCCTCCCACACAACCCCAACCGGGGCCGGGGACAAACTGCAACCGAGGAACGTGCCCTTAGCAGGAACCGAACCCGGGTCTCTCTGGTCCGCTGGCCTATGCTCTCACCGCTGAGCAAAACGCGCCAGCACAGAGATGGTGAGGTTTTAAAGTGGTTCTATGTTCGAAGCACTGAAGATATATCTTTTTCACAAAGGTGGACACAGTGCCCTAGAACCAGCCTGCCAACCTCTCCTCTTACAGTTCAACTTCAGGTGTCCACTGCTCACAGCTGGCGTTAAAGAGGTGAGTCCCTGGACTGTGGAAAGGGTGGCTCGCTTCCTGGCACATACCGGCGGCAATCGCCCACAGTTAAGGCCAAACAACCAGATGTGTGGCACACAGATGTAGGCATTTGGTTAAGATACATTATTATCTTAATAAGGTTTTTTCATACTATATCCCTTTCATCCTCCAACAACCAGATGAGGTCAATTTTACCTCCCTTTTATAAGGGAGCTCAAGCGTTAAGAGGCAGTTAGAGGCAGAGCAGGATTTCAGCTCAGGTCTGTGCAAATAAAGCACCATGCTCTCCCCTACCAGCCTTTGATCTTAGCCCAAATTTCGATCTGTTGACTCTCGGGGACCTGGTGCATATGTCCGAGGGCTTTCTCCACATTTCATGGCTGGCCTCTCCAAGCCCTTTCTGTGTATGCAAGAACATAGACAGCAAGCATGGGACTTTCCACATGCTTGCGGGTTTCTGTGCACCCCTCACAAACAGGCTCAACGACACTCATCACCCCCAGCACTGGTAAAATACTTCGGCAGTCTCCACTGGGAAAACCGGAGGCTCCGGATCATCGCACTTACAGCGTGCTCAGATTCTTTGTAGTCACAGTCCTGCCAGGTTTTGTCACTTTGAACAGGACAGTCGCCCTCCTTGATTTCATACTTGACAGAATAAAATGTGTTCTCGTCTTTCTGAAAAAAAGCAACCAAAGACACGCAGGGTTCATTCAACTGACACAGCAACAGACCATTTGAGTGGGATCTGGTGCACTTATGAATATTTAAAATACTGAAAGTTACAAATACTTGAAAGAGTGTTCATAAATATGTATATTTTTCAGTGACAAAGTAGTATCCATAATATTAGCCTATTTCTGTAGAAACCAATTAATATGTACATATATGATTTTAAAAGTCTGAAAAGTTAGGAAGCAAAGCTGTTAAAATGTTTGTGTCTTTTTTTTTTTTTCTCCTCACCCGAGGTCATTTGAAACATCGATGTGATAGAGACACATAGAGTGGCTGCCAACCAGGGCTGGGGACAAAAAGCAACGGAGGTACATGCCCTTAGCAGGAACCGAACCCAGGTCTCTCTGGACCATAGGTCAGCGCTCCAACTGCTGAGCCAAACCGGCCAGGGGAAAGTGTTAGTGTCTTAGTGGTGAGTGTATCGTTGGTTGTCTTTCACTCTCTTTAAACCAACATTCCTAAATTGTCTGAGTATTTTTTTTTAATCCTCACTCGAGGACATTTTTGTATTTATCTTTAGACAGAGCGGGAGGGAGAGAGGGAGAAAGAGAGAGAGAGAGAAACATGGATATGAGAGAGAAACATAGATATGAGAGAGACATCGATTGGTTACCACCCTCACAACCCCAACTGGGACCGGGGACGAACCACAACCGAGGTACATGCCCTTAGGGGACAACCGAGGTACATGCCCTTAGTGGGAACTGACCCCCGTACTCTCTTGTCTGCGGGCCGGTGCTCTAACCACTGAGCAACCGGCCAGGGCTGAGTATTTTTTCCAAAACAAACATATACTACTCTTACAATTAGAAAACAAACCAACAAACAAGAGAACTTCTTTAATTTTGAAAAAAAAAAAATGTTAACAGTTATTTCTGGATGGTGGGATTAGTTATGGGTAATTTTAGTATTTTTATTTGCTTTGTTTTGTTTTCTATTTTTTCTAGCATGTCATAAAATAATGTGGACGAAAAAGGGCCACATGCTAACCTGACAAGCTCAGGGGAGGCCTGTGTGATAGTTTTGCAGACTCAAGACCTAAAGTAACCACAAAGGATTGTCTGAAATTTAAACTTTTTAACTAAAAGCAGTTTATGGCAGGTAGTCATGTCCTAGGCCAGCATCTTCCCTGACAAAGGTCAATTTTCACCTTAATGGAGCCTGCTGTCTTTTTGCATCTAAAATAGCATACTTTTGGGATGTGGGGTAACTCCCTTTGTTCCAGACCCCTCAGGGCACAATCTGTGCACCAGGGTGGAGACCACAAATCCCCTCATTGTTATTATTATCATGTCAATTGTTGACTATTAACTATCCTGTACCCTCAGATGTAAAAGAAGGACATGTCTATCATTTTACTTTTCATCCAATCCCAGAGTTTCCTTGCTTTGCTTTCTCCCACCTCCCTAATGTAACACCAGTGGATTTTCTGTAACCCACTTAGTCTTCTCTTTTGATTGTAATGTATAAAATAAGGTGCAAAACTGCCATTCTCCAGAGCGTTATCTCAATCCATTGAGGTTTTGCTTCCTAGCATTTGTTGACAGTTGGCTCAAATAAACACAAAATTCTTCACAGGTTTGAACTTTCTTACGTTGACCATAATAAATAAAACTTTTATAACTCAAAGATTCTGAATTAGATGAGCTTTCAGATGCAAAATCCTGGCATGTTGGAGCAGCGAGACTTGAGAGGTGATGTTGCCCTGTCTCCACTTAGCAGTTGAGAGGAAGGAGGTCGGAGTAGATAGGGCTTAGCTTAGGCGGCCCCCCACCTTGGAAAGACAAGCCAGCGCAAACCCCAGTCTCCTGAGTTCCGGGGGCAGTGCTCTCTCAGAGCCTGCACCGGCAAATACTTTCATCCGGGAGATGACAGACTCCAATACGACAGTCTCCGAGGTTCCTTTCCGGTCTCAGATTTTGATAAAGCAGTAGGAGGTAGTGGAATACATAGCAAAGTAAAAAATGATTCTATGGACATGTTAGAACAAAAAAACACATTTGCCACGGATGTCAGCCAATGATGACAACACCAATAAAAGGTTGCTGAGGGCACCAGGACCCACATGACTACACTAGTTTATCAAACAGAATGATGCCATTTTGCTTTCAGGGGGAAAAAAAAATACCCACTGGGCTTTTTTGTGTAATCTCATCATGTCAAATGGCTGGATTTCTTTTCTTCCACTGAAGTAAACTATCACAGAGACACAGTAAAATTCATTTGAATAAACTATTGAAAGTTTATATGTTTTTTAAAATATGTTTTTTATTGATTTTTTTTTAGAGAGAGAGGAAGGGAGACAGAGAGCGAAACATCAGCTGGAACTGGGACCACTCAGCCTATGGGACATTGTTCAATCCACTGAACCACACTGGCCGGGCTGTTTTTTGTTTTTTAACTTTGGTTTTGTTTTCACCTTTTTCTTCAAAAATAATTTGCTTTCTTTTGCATGCCACAAGCCAGATTTCTAGTTTCAGAATAGGGTACATCAAGAACAAAAATATCCCCCCTGCATACTCTCTTTGTTTGAACCAATACAAGAAACCCTTTGGGATCATCAGCAAGTGACTAAACAGGTATCGAACCACTGAATCTACAAGTTAATACATAATCTGTTACGGCAGAATAACCAAGAATTTCCCTCAAAGCAAGGTTTTGATTTTCCATATATAAAAGTCTAAGAGGATCATATATAAACAAACAAAAATCTTATTTCAGGTTTTAGGGTAAAGATGGATGACATGCTGGCAACTGAAGAAAGCTGAAATTCTTACTATACATAGATCCAAATGAAGAATTTCTACGTTTTGTTAGAAAACAGAACCAGAATTTCTTTTGGAAAAATGATGATCCTGTGGAATGCCTTTACTTCCAAGTTTACCTACTATTATAACAGTAAAACAGACACAAGAATGTTGCTCCACAAAGCTGCATGCAGGGCACTGACACGGACACCTTTGCTTAGAAGTCCTACAGGTTTATTGACTAAGACTAGACAGAAGGTCATATGATCCTGTTTGGTGCTTTTTCTACTGTGGCCCAAGATTATTATATGGACACAGCCAAGGACAAGGTCCCAACTTTCAGAAAAAAGACCACAGAGAAGAAAATCAGGGTGATTATTTAGTACCCCTAGTTGGTCATTTGAAGTGGAAGAATGAAAGGTGGAAAATACAGACCGCAAAGAGTTAAAGGAGTTGGAAAAAGTTGGTGGAGAGAGGCACGGTCTATGAGTAAGGTCACTGGGCTTGGGATGACAAAGGTGCTGCAAAAAAGAGCGTCCGCGGGACCAAATATTTATAATGTCCTGTGGTGTCACTCCCTCAACGACGTTAGAATATCTGGATGTGATAATAAATAGATCAGTTATGCAATAAGGCAGTGTTGAACATGCATTCGTCCTGTGGAATGAACCCACAGAGATACGTGATACCATACATATTCTTCAAGTTTTCTTGTGCTGTGTTTGGCTGGTTTGTTTGTTTTCAAGGCTATCCGGGCAAACTCTTCCTGGGGAGGTCCTTGGAGAGAAGAGTGCTGAGACTGGTTTGCTTCATCTTTCCTTTATTAAGAGATGATGATTGTTTAAAGAAAAATAAAACTGCAGGTTGTTGGACTTTTATTTTTTCCCTGTCAGTTGCATCGTTCTGAGTGTTTTCATAGAAACAAACAAGAAAAATCACAACCATCTCCCCAAAAAACACACTACAACTCAATAGTTTTTGATGCATCCAGTTGTTATATCCTCAGGATGTTCCAGATGTTTCCAGGTAACTGTACTTTATGGACTGTGGTTTTGTCCAGCAAGGTCAAAACCCAAAGTTGTGTTTGTGATCTGAAAGTGTCCACGGTCTTCTCCAAGGTTCAGGATCTTCTCAGAACGTGTGTTTGCTGGCCGTCATCCACCTTCTGTGCTGCTCTGCCGGTTCATTTAGATATGCCTCATCACAGTCCCCATTCTTTACTTGCTCATCTGCTTTGCTTTGCTTTATTAGACTTTTCACGTCACTCTGCTTGTTGCTGGTTTTCAATAAGGGGGCGGGGGTTCGTGATGTAGGGGAAGAAGCCAACTGCTTTCACTGGCGCTGCCGTCACTCAAGCTAACGCAGTGACTTCGGCTGCCACCTCTGTGTATATGTCTCTCCGTTTTGGAGTATTGTCATCTTCTGCTTCATCTGATTATTCCCTATTGTCATCTGAATGCAGGTCTTTTATTAAAGACCTTAAAGGACCTTGTTGCCTCAGCTGGGACTGTGTGAAACTGGAGCTGGAGCTGGAGCCAGAGCCGTCAGGGCTGGTTGTACAGACCAGGGCTGTGGCCGAGAAAAGGCGGCCCAGCGTGGGCCAGAGCCACACAGGGACAGACCTGGCCATAGGGCCCCAGGGAGAGGGCTGGAGGGACAGCTGCCAAGCTCCTGCACCCCAGCTGAGTCCCTCTCCCACACTGCCCACAGAAGCCACCCCTCCTGGGTCAGAAAGTTTGTTTTCTTGGAATCACACATCCTGTCAGGATTTATCTTCAACCTGAGTGTATCCATCAGTGAAATATTTGAAATATTCAAAACCAACTAGAACATTGCTGTTACCCTTGGTGAGTTTAGCCACAGGGACTTCATGGTAGATACTTTGTCTGATATAGTAGAATGATGTTAATCTCATTCCTGACTCCTCTTAGACGTACCCCACCACTCCTCATTTACCTATCGAGGTATAATTAGCAAATAAAAATTGTACATATTTAAGATTTACAATAGGTGATTTGATATATGTATACATTTTGAAATGATTGCCACAAATAAGCTAATTAACACATCTTCATCTGTTTTGTGTGTGTGGTGAGAATGCTTAAGGTCTAGCCTTTTTGCAAATTTCAATTATACAATACAGTATTATGAACTCTAACCACTATGCTGTACATTAGATGCCTGGGACCCATTCATCTTGTAACTGAAATTTTGTGCCCTTGACCAACATCTCCCCATTTCCCCAGCCTACAGCCCCTGCCAACCACCATTCTACTTTCTGCTTCTGTTGAGTTTGACTGTTTCAGATTCCACTTATATGTGAGATTATACACTATTTGTTAGATGCTCCCCCTTAAGAACCCCCTCCCCATTTGAGGTCTGAAGGTCTTTATAGTTTAGTTTAAGGCTGGTTACCCAATAAACCCTCTTGCTGTGGCCTGAGTCCCTGGACTTTCCCACTCTGCGTGGTCCCTTTCAAATGACTCCATATACCTTTCTTTATTTCACCCTAGGATACCTCTCCTCTGATCACTCAGGAAGCCAACCTTGGTGGCCCGAGGACTAGTCATACCCTGCCCTACAACCCTCAGCCCAGAGAATGGAGTTGGTCTTTTCTAAGAGCTGTAAGCTTCTACCTTTAATTATCAGTTTTTGGTGGTGGTGGTGGTGTGTGTGTGTATCGTGGATTCAAGTGATAGCACAAATCCCAAATGACCGCAAGGTTAAACACAGCTCACTTACCGTCTTGGTGACTTCAGTTATGCGGTACAATACAAACTGGTTGCCACTTGAGCTTTGACTGTTATATTTCTTCAGAGCTGCGTCCACAGCCTTAAATACATCCTCATTATTGCAGTCAATTTCTTGTGAGTAGTATTCCTGGGTTAAACTTGTTAGCAGCCTGGAACAAAGGAAAAAGATGGCAATTAACTTCATGATTTAACAGTCTCCCTATGGGAATTCTATCCAGAATTGGGAGCTAACTTGGATGCTGATATCAACTCTCTTCAGCCTTTTATTTCTCCTGCCTCTCCTCTCTCTGCCTTAACAGTTCAGATCCCGGCTTGGACACCTGCCGTCCACTATTTGCCCTATATTACAAAAGAACAAATGGCTGTGCTGGGTTATCCAAGCAGATCTCAGGCTGGTACATTACAACACTGGGGTGGTTGACCTGCTTGTTTACATTTCGGAAGCATGTAGGAGTGCAGAGCACATTTCCAGGTGATTGCACAACTTTGTATAGCAAATCAGAGTAATAAAAGAGGAGAAAAAAAAAATCAACCACTTGTTATTCTCTTTCCCAGATGACTTTCCCAAAGCCATTTATGAAGGTCATTGCATGTGATACCAATGCAACCACGTGCAGATACCTTTCAATAAAATTTCTTTGCACAGGGACATAATGAGTGCAGGGAGTCTCACACCAGGACATTGGGACAACTGAAAATAAAAAACGAGCATCCTATCTGGTGTCTGGCCAAGCCAGCCTCTTTCCACTCAATTGGATTAATTGTAGAAAGAAAAATGCTCCCCAGGGTACAGGAGAGGGGAGAAACTTAAAGAGAGATAGGTTGAGTGAAGCCTGCTTACCCTGTCCTTCCTTCTTGTTTCTGGTTTAGTGGACCTTAGGGGTATCTTTCTGTCACCAAGCCTAACTGACCTTTGTGATAAAGTTAGACTAATCAGGGAGAGGAGGTCTAAGGGTAGGTTAAATGCACTAGCCTTTAGTAGAAGTTTGCTTTCAAGTCTTACCCTCTTCCCCCCCAAAAGACATTTGACTTTGTTGTTGTTGATAGGGTCTCTAGCTTGGCAATTCAGTCTCCCTGAGCACCCCTGGAAAAGAGGGATCAATGGGGGCTGCATGATGGCCTGTAGCAGAGTGGCAGGAACATGAACTTGGCAGTAAGTCCAACCTTGCTACCAATCCAGCTCTGCTAGTTAACTGCTCTGTGACCTTTCTGAGCTTCAGTTTCCTCATGTGGAAAAGTGAAAAATCATAATAGCTTATGAGGTTTTTTGAGGAGTAAATGAGATAATATTTGTGCAGGTCCTGGTAATCAGTTCTTATAAATTATATCTAAGGTTAGGGTGGGTTGGTTAAGAATCCCTGACTTACTGAAACAGTTTCAGGTGTGTGGTGAAGGCAGAAGGTATATTCTAGTGTGTGGGTGGTGGGGCAGGGGATGTGTGTGTGTGTGTGTGTGTGTGTGTGTGTGTGTGAAATGAAACTAAGGTGAAGGAGACGTCAGTAAGTTCTTAGAATGGGAAGAAAGAGGGACCTGCAAAGATAGAGAAGCTGTGGTTGGGAGAGTGAGGAGATGACTGATGCTCATGGTCTAGGAGGAGCACAAAGCTGATCACAGTGGATGTTTCAAGTGAAGATACAGAAACGAACTTACAGTGTATGCAGACAGGAAAGCATGTGACTTTGGAGAGGCTGATCTGGGTTCCAATCCCAGTCCCAGTTTATTGACTATAACAAACATTAAAACATTCATACACTTCTTAGCTATTATGTAACAAAACAAATCTAGCCCTGGCCTGTTTGGCTCAGCGGTTAGAGCATTGGTCGGCAGTCCAGAGAGACCAGGGTTTGGTTCCCGCTAAGGGCATGTACTTTGGTTGCGGTTAGTCCCCGGCCCCCGGTGGGTCGTGGGGGGTGGCAGCCACTCGATGTGTCACTTTTGCATCGATGTTTCTCTCTATCTCTCTCTCTCCCTCCCACTCTATTGGAACAAAATATCAAAAAATGTCCTCAGGTGAGGATAAAAAAACAAAAAACAAAAACAAATCTAGAAAAAAAGCAGGTCAATGGTATACTTTCTAAATCTCTGGCATAATGTAAGCTCCCTAGAGTAGGGATTGCTTGTTACCCCATTATTCACCTGCAGCAACTGTGTTTACATATTATAAATGCATTGAATTGAAATGAATTGAGAATGTTCAATCCTATGTTTTCTAGGTATTATTATTTTTTATTTAATTAATTAATTTATTTCTGTTACAGATGTTTCTCCTTTTCCCCCCACTGATTCCCCCTCCCCCTCCCTCCCCGCCCTGTCCCCAGCTTTGTTGTCCATGTCCACTGTTCATGTATACATGCATATAAGTTCTGTGGTTTATCTCCCCCACTACCCCCTCTTCTGGGGATTGTCAGTCTGTACCCCACTTCCATGTCTCTGGGACTACTCCATTCCTCAGACCATTATGTTCATTATACTCCACAAATAAGTGAGATCATATACTTGTCTTTCTCTGTTTGGCTTGTTTCGCTTAGGATGACACTTTCCCGGTCCCTCCATGTCATCTCAAATCTAGGTAATATTTTTAATAACTCAAGCAATATTTGTGAAAGTACTTTATAAATTATAAAATACTACTCAAATTCTTCCATGACAGTGGTGTTTAACTGGGTCCTCCCACACTCATCCAAAACCCAGTAAAGGGAACCACAAACAGTGGAACACCAACACCCACAGGGAAAATTTGGCAGGCTCTAAAACCCACTGAGATAGCCAAAATGGTGAAACAAAGAAACAAATCCCAAATGAAAGAACAAGAGAAATCTACTGAAGATGAGGTAAATGAAATGCAGTTAAGCAAGTTATTAGAGTTAGAGTTCAGACTGATGATAATGAGGAAGCCCAACAGCATGAATAAAGAGCTCAGCACCACGAGTAAAGATATAGAAACATTGAAAATGAACCAATTGGAAATAAATAATGACATAATAAAAATAAAGAACACATTGGAAGGAATAATCAGCAGAGTAGAGGAAGCTGAGGACTGGATCAGTGAATTAGAAGACAAGGTAGAAAAAAATCACCCAATCAGAAAACAAAAAAGAAAAAAAACAAACAATTAAAAACAGAAAGACAGCTTAATAGAACTGTGGCACAGCTGGAAACATAACAACATTCAAATCATAGGTGTTCCAGAAAAAGAAGAAAATGAGCAAGGGTTAGAGAATATATTTGAAGAAATAGTGACTGAAAACTTCCCTAACTTGGTGAAGGAAAAAGGCATTCAAGTTCAAAAAGCACAGAGAGCCCCAAGTAAAAAGAACCCAAACAGGCTCACACCAAGACACATAATAATTAAAATGCCAAAAATTAAAGACAAGGAGAGAATCCTAAAGGTAGCAAGAGATAAGCAATATGTTATCTACAAAGAAACCCCCATAAGGCTATCAGCTGACTTCTCAACAGAAACACTACAGACCAGAAGGGAATGGCATGAAGTAATTAAGGTAATGAAAAACAAGGATCTGAATCCAAGACTACTCTATCCAGCAAGGCTATCATTCAAAATAGAAGGTCAAATAAAGAGCTACCCAGACCAAAAAAAAAAAAAAAAAGTTAAAGGGACTGCTGTAATTAGCAGAAGAAATAGAAAGAAAAATATAACCATAATAAAGAAAAATGCAATAAATAAGTACATATCAATATTAACCTTAAACATAAATGAATTAAACCTCTAATTAAAAGACACAGAGTAGCTGATTGAATAAGAAAGCATGACTCATATATATGTTGTTTACAAGAGATCCACCTCACAACAAAAGATTCACAGAGGTTGAAAGTGAAGGGATGGAAAAAAATCTTCCAAGCAAATGGAAGGGAATAAAAAGCAGGGGTACCATACTCATATCTGATAAAAATAGATTTCAAAATACAGTCCATAACTAGAGAAGAAGAAGGGCACTACATAATATTGAAAGGATCTATCCAACAGGAAGATATAACCTTGGTAAACATATATGCACCGAATATAGGAGCACCAAATTACATTTAAACACTTCGGGAGGACTTCAAAGGAGAAATTGACAACAATACAATCATAGCAGAGGACTTTAACACTGTGCTGACATCATTGGATAGATCCTCTACACAAAAATGAGCAAGGAAGCAGAGACTAAATGCTGGATTTAATAGATACCTGTAGAGAATTACATCCCAAAACTGCAGAATTCACATTCTTCTCAAGTGCACATGGGACATTCTCAAAGATAGACCACAGGACACAAACTGAGTCTCTACATGTTCAAGAAAATTGAGATAATGTCAAGCATCTTCTCAGATCATAATGGCATGAAACTAGAAATCAATTACAGCAAAAACATTCAAACACATGGAGGCTAAATAGCGTGTTACTAAACAATGAATGGGTTACCAAGAAGATCAAGGAAGACGTTAAAAATTTCTTGGAAACCAATAAAAATGAACACACAACAACAAAAAATCTATGGGATGCAGCAAAAGCAGTCCTGAGAGGGAAGTACATAGCACTAAAGGCCTACCTCAAGAAACAAGGAAAATTTCTGATTGACTCTCTAACCTCACAACTTAAAGAACTAGAAAGTAAACAAAAAGGAAAACCCAGAGCAAGTAGAAGAAATGAAATAGTAAAAGTCAGAGCAGAAATAAATGACATAGAAACTAAAAAAAAAAAAAAAAAAAAAGGAAAAGATCAATGAAACAAAGAGCTGGTTCTTTGAAAAGATAAACAAGATTTATGGACCCTTAGCTAGACTCACCAAAAAATACAGAGAGGACACAGATAAATAAAATCAGGAACAAAAAAGGAGAAGTAACATCTGACACCACAAAAATACAAAGGATTGTTAACAAATACTATGAACAACCATACGCCAACAAATTGGACAATCTAGGCGAAATGGATAAATTTCTAGAATCATGCAGTCTCCCAAAACTGAACTGGGAAGAGATGGAAGACTTGACCACACCAATAACAACTAAGGAAATTGAAGATGTAACCAAAAAAGTCCCAGCAAACAAGAGCCCAGGCCTGGACAGCTTCACAGGGGAGTTTTACTGAACATTCAAAGAAGAACTAACACCAATTCTCCTCAAACTATTTCAAAAAATTCAAGAAGAAGGAAGACTTCCAAACTCGTTTTATGAGGCCAGCAT